AAAGAGGAAAAAACATTATAGAAAAGTCTGGGGGTTCAGTTAGGGTTGTCAAGAGGTCCTGCTCTCCTTCCTATTAGGAATAGTGTTTCCCCTATTTCTTTGCCTTAACTATTTTTTCTTTTTTCTTTTGGTCTATTTTAGGAGAAATAATGCTCATCTCCAAAATTCTCTGTTGTTGGCAGAACTGCCTGTTTTTCAGCTGTAGTTAGGGTTTGGCTTAGAAGCAGCATAATATCACTTCATGAGAGGTCAAACACCTGAGTTAAATTTTGGAAACCTTCTGTATACCTATCAGGGTCATTAGAAAATCAGCCTGTCTCTCTTTATTTGCCTAGGGTCCTGTAATGAGAAGGGAACTTGAGGGGGCCCTCAGATTGTTCCCCTGGAAGTGGCTTCTTTAACTTTGGAGAATCATTCTCGATAGACTTTCCTGATATGACCATTAAAAAGGCTGAGTTGATTTTGTAATGCCTGCAAAGCTCTGGTAAGAAGGCCATACCCTTGTGCAAAAGAAAGTGAGCCACTTTTTCTTTAAATTTTTAGGGTCGAAGGAGTCCTTATGCTTCAGAATGCACTCCAGAGTAGTGCAAGCTGAAGACGATCTTTTACCCACCTAGAAAAAGAAGACTAAATGCATCTCTTTAGTCTCCTTCTTTTTGGCATGACCCTCAGTGGAGAGGAAGCCAGTGAAGGCATCTCTACTGCTGTTTTTCCTCCATGGTTCCTGAGTCCCAGCAGCTTGTCGAATGTGCTGCCCGTAGTTGCAGGCGTGACCCTAGCCATGGAACCAGAGGAACTAAGTGGGAATAGTCATGCTCACCCTTATGACTCTAGTCCTCTGCCTGTGATTTCCCTTTTACTTCCTTGACTTGGGTGACCTGCCTGGCTCCCCCCTGCCAAAAAGGACCTCAGGAGAGACTGTGTGACAGTTGCATTTGGGCAACTGTTGACACTTCCCTCCTTAATGGAGGAAGTGTGCTGATTTGAGCTCTGTATCTTGCTATTATTGCCTGTGCTAAAGCATTTATCCTTAGAGAATGGTTCCAGTTAAATTCCAAACTTAGAATCCCCTTACTAATTAAGTACTATTTTAATTGGAGGTAGAATAGATGCCTTACAAGAATGTAGGGATTGAGTGGCTGTTTTCCTGCTGATGGGACAGTATCAAGACCAAAATTTGGTTTCAGAGGATATTTTGCTCCTAGTTGTTGAAAGCAGAACTTTTTTCTGTTCACAGAAGTAGCATAAAGCCTGGTTTCTAATAGAGAGGTGCAAAAAGGGAAAAGAATTAGGAAGGGTGTTTTGGCAAGGGACTGATAATGTGCCTCATGGAGAGAATCCCTGTTCCACTAGGTGGCACTGTTGACCTTGAAATACCATGTGCTCTATAGACCTAGAGCCTTGTGACCTTGTCCTGTCATGTGCCCTTCAGACCCTGGGAAGAGAGAGACCTGGAAATGCCATGTACTTCCCAGAGCAAGGACAGAGAGAGACTTGGAAGTGGCATGTGCTCTCCAGACCAAGGGCAGCAAGAAATACTTACTATGGGGGAGGGGGAGACCTTCTGTTCCTAGAAAATCACACTGCGTTCTCTTGAGCTATATCCCCACTTACTATGACATTCCTTGATCTTGCCAAACAAGATTATTTCCCTGAACTGTAAAACTTCCTGCACATTGCATACACAGAGAAGATAGGAGATACGGCAGTCATAGACAGGAAAAGAGGAAATTACAATAGAAAAGTTGGAGATCCTGCTGCCAATGCCCTATTGGATGGTTGGAGGCTGGGGTCAGTCCAGAAGCCTTTGGATAGCACCGGGAGTTAGCCTCAGCCGGAAATCCTCAGTTGCTCCAGAATATCTTCCAGCCCTATGTGACAGCTAGATCCTCCATGAAAGGAAGCTGATTCAAACATGGCTTACATGCCCAGCAACCTGTGGGTACTGGGGGATTCTCCATGTTCTCCCCAGCAAGCCAGTCCCCCAAGTCTTGGTGCATGGCTGGTAGCCATGCTAATTATTTTTAAATGACCGAAGCGGGGGGCAGGGGGTGGGCTAGTATTTGTTGATTTAATTCTAAAATGGAGGCCAAGAGTCCCAAAATGAAAGAACAGAGTTGGAGTCCACTTCTCTACTCACCATTTCGATGAATATTATACCTTGGTATCCTGAACAAGGTCCTTAGTATTATCCTGAATGAGGTCCTCAATATGAAGTGGCTACATTGTTTGGGGTAGACACCTGGGGTTTGTCATCTTGTGCCAGGGACACTTAGGAGACAGACATACATGAGGAGTTTAGAAGTGGAAGTTTAATAGGCAGGAGAAAAAGGAAGAGAAAGAGAAACAGCTTTCTCTCTAGTGAAAGGGCCAGACTATAATATTCAGCGACCACTGCAGGGTGCTCTTTTTCTCTCAGAATTTTATAATCTGGCTTGAGGAGGGGATGTCTGATTTATGTAAGGCTCACAGATTGGTTTGATTAGGTATGATGTTTACATAGTCCTTGGGGAAGGCTGGCCACCCCACCCTAATCTTGTTATGCAAATGAACTTTCCTTTCTGCTGGTGCCATCTTGTCTGCTCCTTATTGTACATGTAGCTGACAAAGAGAAGGGACGATGGAGCAACCATCTTGAACATGATTGGCATAACTGCCGGCATCTATATCTGCAGCTCGATTTTACAGGCTATTTGTTAGAAAGGAAAATTGGTGCTGTTTTTCATTAAAAGGGAAACCTGACCGATGACTTCTGTACCCTCATTATCTGCCTTTTCTTCTTAACTCCTGTATCAATAGGATTCTCCATGTGGTAAATCTTAACAAAATTTCAAGACAGGAAAGAAAGGGGACTATTTATCTGGTTGAAGGTCTGTTTTATCAGAGAAGAAAATCTTTTCTGAAATCTTCAGCTGATTTCCATTTATATCTTCTTGACTAGAACTTCCTAAATCAATCACTGATCAAGGGGAATGACTTGATCATTAAGGGCAGGCTACCTATTCCTTAAATATAAGGCCATCTCATTCTTAAAAATAAAATAAAAAATCAAGGTTTAAATAGCAAGACAGAGTGGAAACAGTGAGCTGAAAAAATATATGGTCCCTAACTTAAAAATCTCTTAAACTTGAGTAAATTGAACAACACTTCTCTGGAGATGTCTTGACAGAGAACACAAGAGAACATTAGCAGATGGGTGTGTGTTGTGAGATTGAAAACATATGAAAGAAATGACATCATAAAGATGATAGAGAAGGAAGTTCAAGGAATTTGCCCCTCCACTGAAGCAACTGTTGAGCTGGCAAGCACTGTCCAAAGCAATTATTTTAGAACTCTGGATCCTAGTCAAACACTTGTGGCATCCAGGGTAAGTAAATGATCCAGGAAGGGTGGTCACTGGCTGACCATAGAGATGATGGAACAGAGACTTCAGTGGTCACACAATCACAAGGAATGGATTTCTTGTGGGAAAAAAAGTTTAGAAAAGTCACTAAGCAAATTGATGACTGTAACCTTCATCAAGTAACAGAAGTGATCCTTGGGGAGGAGACATAATCTGACTTTCAGTTGCCTAATTACAGGATTCAAAATGTCCAGTAGTTCCCAACCAAAAATTATAAAGCCTACAAAGAAACAGGAAAGTTTAGCCCATTCACAAGAAAAAGAGAAATCCATAGAAACCGTACCTGAAATAGCCCGGTCATTCGACTTAATTAGACAAAGACTTTAGATGAACTGTCTTACATATGTTCAAAGATCTGAGAGAAACCATTGACAAAAAACTAAAGAAATCAGGAAAACAATGTATGAACAAGTAATGAATATCGAAAAAAGAGACAGAAATTTATCAAAAGAAATGAAGTATGTATTCTGGAGCTAATAGCTGAAATTAAAATTTCACTAGATGAGTTCAACGGATTAGACCTATTTAAGGGTTATAAATGGCTCATTTAAAATATTTTTTGGTGAAGTGCTATGTGTGGGACAATATTCTTAATTACATATTTATTTGGGAGATAATTTGGAGAAGGAAAGATTTAATTATTTTTTACATTCACATTAGTTTTTGAATAAGAAAGATAAATTATAGATGTTTTTACATTTACTTTAGCATGTATACAGCAGGGATGGTAAGTAGATTTTCTCTCATGTCAACTCTTATCTGTTGATAGTAGCCACTCTGTTTAGAAGAATTCTATGACACAGGGTTTGGAAAAATGTACTGTACTTTTCTTAGAGTCTGCCCGGACATCCTATTGTGTGTCTGCCACATGCATGCTATGTGTAGGCTGACTAAAAGCCTATTTATGTAACTACTAGATGTATAAAAGTTAAAGGTATGTTTTTCTCTGCTAGTTTTGGCTCAAGAAATTTCTTTGTAGGATATGTTTATACTGCTTAGGTGGTTCTTGAATTCTATTGAGGTCTAGATTTTTAAGAGAGATTTGGATTCTGGCATTTGTAAAGTACATTTTCCTGTTGGGGTATAGCTGTCAAAGCATCATAGATAGTATTGCTAATGAATATAGAATAGAATTCTCAAGTAATAGTAAAAAAAAAAAAAATAGCTACTGAGGGGTTATCATTTTGTTAGCTTCAATACTTTACATTTTTGGAGAGGTGCTGTATAAATTACATTTCTCTTCTAGTATGGAGAAGTATCAAAAATTTACATTTTTACCATGACAAATTTTAATTAGGTAGTTTTCTCCTCACCATCTATATTATTCAAAGGCCATACTCTAACATACCATAAAATTGTTTTTGTGTGTGTTGCTTTCGCAGTGGTACTTGCCAGAGAGTACTCAAGGCACAATCCCACATATCATACAGATTCGTCCTTGCCTCTTAAAAAAATCAGCAAGTGAATGTTGTATTAGAATGATATTTTTACATAAGTATGAGATGTAATTTTTAGTTAAAAGACAGTAAATAGTTAAACTTTTATGCCTTGCCTTATCTGTGGGCTATCAGCCAGCTTTTCTCTTTCTTCCTTACAGGTTGATGAGAAAGCTCTGAAGCACATAACGGAAATGGGCTTCAGTAAGGACGCATCGAGGCAAGCTCTTATGGATAATGGCAACAACTTAGAAGCGGCATTGAACGTACTTCTTAACAGCAATAAACAGAAACCTGTTATTGGTCCTCCTCTGAGAGGTATAACTTATTAAGCAGTGTGCCAGATAGTGTTGTTTGCTTTTCAGAGGAATATATGTTATTGACAGAGGCTTTTATAGCTGTAAGGACTGTGACTTTATTTAATGTTTTGGTAAGTGGAAGGAACACCAGTTGGGGAACCATAGAGATATTTTTATTGTCGGTCTCATCGTCTTCATCTTTATGGGTCTAACAACAACAAAAAAAACAAAAACAAAATGTGTCTAACAAGGCCATATTTAACAAGGTTGTTATGAGTAATGGAGAAAATATGTGACTGGTTTTATTATTTCAACAACTCTGCCACCTGCGTAAATGACTAAGCTTTTACAAATTAACAAAAATAATACATTTACTTGGTGTAATTATTTAATCATTACATGATCAATGTGTTATGTGGTATTTCAAGTCCCAGCCCTATATTCTTTTAAGAATATCTGTGGTTAAAGAATAAATTTATATTTTTTCCTTAAAAGATAGTTTATATGAACAAATTCAAACTTCTGAATAGATCATTTATTGAGGGGATTAAAACTGCTACTTAATTACTTAAAAACATTTTAATAAAGATGTAGACTATACAAAAATATGAAAAGAAATTAAAATCCCTATTTAAAATTGTTTTTATATATAAGTATATATTTTCCTTTTGTTTCTGCATATATAGTACATATTTCTTGCTTTTACATCTAAAGGTAGAGGAAAGGGCAGGGGGCGAATAAGATCCGAAGATGAAGAGGATCTGGGAAATGCAAGGCCATCTGCACCAAGCACATTATTTGATTTCTTGGAATCTAAAATGGGAACTTTGAATGTGGAAGGTAGGCTATCTTAAAGTTGATTTCTTCCTTTTTTTTTTTTAAAGTGTATTTCTTTTTAAAAGACCAAACTTTATTTGGAATTGTACAATAAAAGCTATAATATGAACATATATCCTGAGTGCTTGTTTATAAACTTACTTAATTACAAATTCCTGTTTGACAAAAGCACAGAAGAAAATGTGAATTGTTATATTCTGAAAACATAATGGCAGCTTATTTTGCCCCCTAACTTGGATGAGTGATCTTCCCAAATTTGCTCCCATCTAGATAACAGATATAACTCTATAAACAGATTGTTGTGTTGGAAAATTTATTGCCTAATCTTATATAACTTTTTTTGATTGTGAAATTGGTATATCTCTTCTTTCTCCCCATATTACATAGTTTGAAAATGTTCACACAGTGAGTGAAAATGCTTTCACAATGTGATATATTTTTGATATACTTATTGATAACATAAATATCGAAAAGAGAACTAAGTATGGTAAATATGCAGCCTTTTTCTAAGCACTTAATGTAAATACTTTCTAAAATGTTTTAAAAATACTATTCAAAAAGCTAAGGAAGTACACTTTAAATACAGTTTCTCATTCAGACATATTTTGGCTCTAACCAAATAAGCTCAGAGATAAAAGGCTTTGATATCAAATATGAAATGTTCAGATTTCATAAAAATTGAAACTGGTTTGCTACATTAAAAGGAAAAGGCACTGTAGCATTTAAGAAAACAAATTTTTGATGTTGGCAAGATTTGTAAGCATGATGTATTAGTTTTCTATTGCTGTGTAACAAATTACAAAAAAATCAGTGGCTTAAAACAAAGCAAGTTTATTATCTCTTAGTTTCTTTGTGTCAGGAGTCTAGGCACAGCTTCATTTGGGCCTCTGTTTAAAGTCTCAGATACTGATGTTAAGATTGTGTTTGGGGTAATGAGCTTTATATATATATATAAAATTGTACTTTAGATTCTGGGGTACATGTGCAGAACATGCAGGATTATTGCATAAGTACATACATGGCAATGTGGTTTGCTGCCTCCATCCCCATCACCTATATCTGGCATTTCTCCCCATGTTATCCCTCCCCAACTCCCTAATCCCCACTGTCCCTCCACTAGTACCCCCTAACAGACCCCAGTGTGTGATGCTCCCCTCTCTGTGTCCATGTGTTCTCATTGTTCAACACCTGCCTATGAATGAAACATGTGGTGTTTGATTTTTCTGTTCTTGTGTCAGCTTGCTGAAAATGATGTTCTCCAGGTTCATCCATGTCCTTACAAAGGACACGAACTCATCATTTTTTATGGCTGCATAGTATTCCATGGTGTATATGTGCCACATTTTCCTTGTCCAGTCTATCATCAGTGGGCATTTGAGTTGGTTCCAGGTCTTTGCAATTCTAAACAGTGCTGCGATGAACATACATATGCATATGTCTTTATAATAGAACAATTTATAATCCTTTGGATATATACCCAGTAATGGGATTGCTGGGTCAAATGGAATTTCTGTTTCTAGGTCCTTGAGGAATCTCCACACTGTCTTCCACAATGGTTGAACTAATTTACACTCCCATGAACAGTGTAAAAGTGTTCTTTATTTTTTTTTTTTTTGAGATGGAGTTTTGCTCTTGTTACCCAGGCTGGAGTGCAATGGCGCGATCTCGGCTCACCGCACCCTCGGCCTCCTGGGTTCGGGCAATTCTCCTGCCTTAGCCTCCTGAGTAGCTGGGATTACAGGCACATGTCACCATGCCCAGCTAATTTTTTGTATTTTTAGTAGAGATGGGGTTTCACCATGTTGACCAGTATGGTCTCGAACTCTTGACCTTGTGATCCACCCACCTTGGCCTCCCAAAGTGCTGGGATTACAGGCTTGAGCCACCACGCCCGGCCAGAAGTGTTCTTATTTTTCCACATCCTCTCCAGCATCTGTTGTCTCCAGATTTTTTAATGATTGCCATTCTAACTGGCATGAGATGGTATCGCAATGTGGTTTTGATTAGCATTTCCCTAACTACCAGTGATAATGAGCATTTTTTTATATGTTTGTTGGCCTCATATATGTCTACTTTTGAAAAGTGTCTGCTCATATTCTTTGCCCACTTTTAAATGGGTTTGTTTTTTTCTTGTAAATCTGTTTCAGTTCTTTTATTTATTTATTTATTTATTTATTTGGGGGGGGGGAGGAAGGCAGGAAGGGAGGGAAGAAGGACGGTAGGGAGGAAGGAAGGGATGAAGTAAGGAAGGAAGGAAGGAAGGAAGGGAGGAAGCGGGGAGGGAGGGAGGGAGGGAGGGAAGGGAAGGAAGGAAATTAAGCAATGAGAGAGACATTGCCGACCTGGATCTAGAGGTTTACAAGTTGATTTCTTTTTTTTTGAGAGAAGGAAAGAAAAAAAAATAATAAGTAAAGGAGAGGAAGAAAGAGGAAGAGAAAGAGGGAGAGTAAATGGAAATAATTGCTTTATTTTGAAAAAAATTGGGTATTAATGATGGCCAATCAATGTTTCATTTAAGCTTATGGGTAGGTATGATGTGGTATTGACAAGAATGTATATTTTGTGTATTTGAAGTGGAGAGCTCTATAAATATTTATTAAGTTTACTTGTTCTGGATCTGAGTTCGAGTCCTTGATATCCTTATTAATTTTCTGTCTCATTGAATCTAAGTCACGTATCTGGGTGTTAGGATTGTTAGCTCTTGTTGTTGCATTGATCCTTTTACCACCATATCTTTGTTGCTTTAAAATCTATTTTATCCGATACGAGAATTGCAACTCCTGCTTTTTATTTATTTATTATTTATTTTTGCTCTCCATTTGGTTGGTAAATCTTTCTCCATCCCTTTGTTTTGAGTCTTTGTGTATCCTTGCATGTGAAACAGGTCTGGATGTAACATGCCATTGGGTTTTGGCTGTGTCTTTTGATTGGGGGATTTAGTCAATTTAAATTTAGGGTTACTGCCATTTGATGTTGACTGGCTGTTTTATCCATTCGTTGGTGTAAATTCTTCTTTATGTTGGTGCTCTTTACTTTTTGGTGTATTTTTAGAAAGGCTAATACTGGTTGTTTCTTTCTGTGTGTAATGCTTCTTTCAGAAGCTCTTGTAAAGCAGGCCTGGTAGTAATAAAATCTCTGAGTACTTGCTTGTTCATAAAAGATTTTATTTTTCCTTCAGTTGTGAAGCTTAGTTTGGCTGGATATGAAATTCTGGGCTGCAGGTTCTGTTCTTTGAGGATGTTGAATGTTGGCCCCCACTCTCTTCTGGCTTGTAGAGTTTCTGCCGAGAGATCTGCTGTAAGTCTGATAGGCTTGCCTTTGTGGGTAACCTGACCTTTCTCTCTGGCTGCCCTTAGTATTTTCTCCTTCGTTTCAACCCTGGTGAATCTAACGATTATGTGCCTTGGGGTTGCTCTTCTTGAGGAATGTCTTTGTGGTGTTCTCTGTATTACCTGGGGTTGAATGTTGACCTGCTTTGCTAGTTTAGGAAAATTTTCCTGAATAATATCCTGAAGGGTATTTTCCAGCTTGGATTCATTCTCTCCGTCGCATTCAGGTACACCTATCAAACGTAAATTTGGTCTTTTCACATAGTCCCACATTTCTTGGAGACTTTGCTCATTCCTTTTTATCCTTTTTTTCTCTAATCTTTTCTTCACATTTTATTTCATTAAGTTGGACTTTGACCTCTGATATCCCTTCTTCTGCTTGAACAATTCAAGTGTTTAAACCTGTGCATACTTCTCGGAGTTCCTGTATTGTATTCTTCAGTTCCATTAATTCACTCATACTCCTCTCTAAGTTGTCTATTCTCAATAGGATTTCATCAAACCTTTTTTCAAAGTTCCTAGTTTCTTTACGTTGGGCTACAACGTGTTCTTTTAACTCACCGAAGTTTGTTATTATCCATTCCTTGAAGAGTGATTCTGTCATCAGGATGCGTTCCTTCTCCATCAAGCCTTGTTCCATTGTCGATGTGGAACTGTGATCATCTTTGGAGGGAGAGGCGTTCTGACTTTGAGTATTCTCAGCTTTTTTACGCTGGTTTCTTCCCGTCATTGTAAATTTATCCTCCTGTCATCTTTGAAATTACCAACTTTCAGATTAGGTCTTTGAGTGGGCGTCCAGGTTGTTAGTTCCCAGGGCCAGAGCAGGGGCGTTAAAACTGATGGTGCTTTTCTGCCCAGGATTCTCCTGTCTGGCTTCCTTCTTGTGTCCGTAGTAGGCGACTCTGCCTTCCTGGGGCTCCAAACCTCGGTCAGAAGAGGAACCGGTCCCGTTTACTCTGTGCCGAGCGCTGTCGCGCCAAGGTGCCGTCGCAGCCGCTGAGCCAGGCTCTGGTGTCCTGCTGGGGACCTGTGCGGGTCCTCCAAAACCGTTTACTCTGCTCAGAGAGCTGCCACGCTGAGGTGCCGGCGGAACCACTGCACTGGCCACAAGAGTCGCGCTGGCCACCGTGTGTTTCCTCCACTGGGGGATCTTCTGCTCCGTGAGCAACCAGAATTTGTCTGAAAGTGTGGCGTCCTCTAGTTCTCTGCGCCTTCCCTGAGAGCTGCAATCCTGGGATGTTAGTGATCGGCCATCTTGGATCGTTCCCTGTTTCAGTTCTTTGTAGATTCTGGATATTAGTCCTTTGTCAGATGGGTAGATTGCAAAAATTTTTTCCCATTTTGTTGGTTGCTGGTTCACTCTAATGATTGTTTCTTTTGCTGTGCAGAAGCTGTGGAGTTTGATTAGGTCCCATTTGTCTGTTTTGGCTTTTGTTGCCAATGCTTTCAGTGTTTTGGTCATGAAGGCCTTTCCTACTCCTATGTCCTGAATGGTTTTGCCTAGGTTTTCTTCTAGGGTTTTTATGGTGTTAGGTCTTATGTTTAAGTCTTTAATCCATCTGGAGTTAATTTTAGTGTTAGGTGTCAGGAAGTGGTCCAGTTTCTGCTTTCTGCACATGGCTAGCCAGTTTCCCCAACATCATTTATTAAACAGGGAATCCTTTCCCCATTGCT